AAATAATAACTTTACCTCTTATATTATTATAACTTTTAATTTTAATTAATAATTCAAATAATATAAAATAGAATTTAAATATAGGAAATAATAATAAAAAAATATTCTATTAATAAAAATATAATTATTCATTTTGGAATCTGTAAATGTTTAAATATAATATAAATATTCATTTCTCAAAAATATATATAATAAATTTATAAAATCATTTTTTATTAATTTTATTAAATTAAGGAATTTTATATCCCAAATTATATTTAAAAAGAAATTTTTACCTAAACATTTTAATTTAAATACTAGTTTTTAATAATATAAATAAATTCAATAACTTTTATTTATATATCTAAATTAATATTCTTTTTAATATTTTTTTTTATATTATAAAACTCTTTATTTTCTTTAATTTCTTAAATTTCAACTATAGCATTTACATTACCTATATATAAAGTAAAACTGTAATTCACTTCTAATATAAGAATAGATATACTATAATTAAAATTGTTTTCTGAAAATAGAATATTATTAGATTTAAAGATTCTTATATAATTAATAGAAATATAAAAGAAATATAAGATTTAAATAAATAGATTTGAGTTATTTAATAAATAAAAAGTAATTTTAAGAAAAATCAATAAAAAGATTTTATTAGATAATTTTCTAAAAAGAATTTTTTTAATTATTCTATTATAATTATATTTTTGAAATATAATTTCGAATTTATTGATTTTAATAAATTTATTAACTAGATTTTCTATAATATAACATTATTGAATATAGCGATTAATAATTTATTAAAGGAAATTAAAGATCTTTTTTTTCAAATTGCAAAAAAGAATTATTAGATTAATAATTCCTATTTATATAGCTAATAGTCTAAACTTATAATACCATACCAGGAAATTTCTGTATTACATATTATTCAATATAATCCAATATTCATATTCAATATAAGCATAATCAATCTCAACCGAATTTTTATAAATAACTATAAGCTAATTAATTAATTATTAATTTATTAAATAAGAAATTTACATATACAACAAGAATATATATTTTTATACTTCTCCTTCAATTTATTTTATTATATAAAATTATTATTATAATTTCAAGATAAATAAGTTTTTATAAAGTTCAAATTGTTCTATAATTAATAATTATTAAAAACTTATTTTCGATTTTATATTATTTTTAAATTTAAATAAGAAATTAATAAACTTTAGAATACATAAATATTCTATTATAATAATAAAAAAATAAAAAAGAAGTATTTATTGAATTTATAGATTAATCAATAAAACAATCAGAATTAAAGAAAATCTATTATTAGCATTTAAAAGAAATCACTACAAAAATTAACTCTACAAATAGAGTTTTTTTTATTTTTCTTTTTTCCAATAATAAAAAATACTCTTTTAATAAAAATAATTAGAATATTAGAAATTTGAATTTTGTAATCCTTTAAGAAATCTATATAATATTACTATCGAAATTAAAAAAATTAAAATAAATAAATAATATTAGAATTATATTATAACAATTTTTCTTTAAGCTTTATTATATTATTCTATAAGACTTTATAATCTATAAAAATCAATATTTATTCTTTCTGAAATAAACAAATATATATTAATATACTACCATCAAGAATTAATTCTTTAATCAAAAAATCGTTTTCCAACTATTTACTCTTTCCACATCTATTAGTATTTATATTAGAATCAAAAAGATTATATTTATTATTTTATTAAAATTAATTATTATTAATTAAAAGAGTTTAATTAATTATAAAAAAAAAGCAATAAAATCCTCTTGAAATAAATGAATTGGATATAATAATAGTACTTGTAATTTGATATATTTGAAGAAAATATCTTTATCAAGTTTTAATTAAAATAAATCTTTTTTTTATAAATAATATTAATATATAATTTATTTAAAAAGATATTATAATTATAAAGTATTATTTGAATAGTTATCAAATAATTGTATAATTATATAAAAGTTATAAATAATGTAATACTTTGTTTTAGAAAAATTATAAAAATAGGGTATAATTTATCCTTAGAATTTATAATTATAGAATTAAAAGTAAAGTATTTATCAAGTATATCTATATATCAACTATATATATATAATCGTATATGTGCGTGTATATGTAAGAGTTGAGGCCCCGGCTTATCGCACACTAGCCGAAAACACACCAAAAACCTTCATTTCTTCAACTTTTGAATTATATATTATTTTAATAAATGTAGAAACATAATTATCGAAATTAATATGTATTATAATTAATTACTAAAATTATTTAAAAAAATAAATAGATTATTTTTAGTATTTTTTTTTGATATAGTTATAGGTTTTCAAAGTTAGAATTTCCAAAAAATCCAAAAAAATTGATTTTTTTGTATGGGAAAAGTGTTACATGTGATAAATTTCGAAAAATTTCAATTTTGAAAACCTATAACTATATCAAAAAAAATGCTAAAAATAATTCATTCATTTTTTAAGATTTCGAATATAGTAATTTCTTATATAAGAGATTTTCAAATTAACTTTTTAATTATTAAATAAATTATAAAAGAAATAAGTTTGTATAAGAAAACGACTTTTTTGTAGGGATTTTGTTACGAAAAAGGGTAGTGTGCGATAAGCCGGGGCCTCAATTCTTATATAAGCGATCGCAGCTGCGATTGGGTGCTGATCCGTGACAAATATTTATTTGAGTAATATTCTTATATAAGATTAAGGGAATTCGTATTAATATTTTTAAGAGTATACTTTATCTTACAATATTTATTTAATATAAATAATAAGAAGATTGTAATTTGTTTATATTATATTTATTAATGAAATTAGTTAGTTTCTATAGTATTGAAGCTATGGCCTAAATAATACTAGCGTTAATTTATAAAGTGATTATATATTATAGAGGATATAATTATATTCTAGCTCTCTTTAGTTAAATAATAATATGATATAATCTTATTATACTTATATTTTCATATAATTCATTTCTTATTATAAACAGTTTTAATATTTATTATTAAGACAAATAGAATATTATATTCATATTTATTAAAAATTAAAAATTTTTTTAATTAATTAATTAAATAGTTATATTAAAATAAATGATAAAATTATATTAGAAAGTTTAATATTAATATATTGAATTTGCTTTTTATCGTTATATATTTGATAACCTCTAAATTACTTTTTCTAGATATTTATATGTGATTTCCTATAGCTTAAATAAACTATTAAATTATAACTCTAAATTTAAATTATTTGAATACACTTTCTTAATATCTTTAGATAGAACATATATTTAATAAAACATTGTTTTCCTATTACGATTTTATAAATAAAGAAATTTGATATAATCTGATAAAGATAACATTTTTGATAAGTGATAGACAATGAATGGAATGGGTTGTAAAAGCTATCTTGTTATTAAAGCTAAAGCTACGCTATTTAAGTGTATCCGCTACGCTTATTACGTAAGCTACGTATCTAGTGCCTAGCCACCATGCCACCATGCCATAATAAGCATCTGTATGGACAAGGGAATTCACTTAAGGGAATTCACTTCAAGGAAATGACTTCAATACAATGGCAACTGTATTAAAGGTATTTAGGCGAAAGCGAAGGAGACTAGCTCTTTCAGTAGTGCCTATATAAGGCCTACTATTTCCCTTATTAGCTAGCTCCTTAGATTGAATACAAATAGACATTTAGGGGCCTACTCATAGTGGGAACCACGTCTTCCGTATCTCTCTCAAACCAACAGCATCTAACTAGACATCTATTCAGAATACTCACTAATCAATAGCAGATCAAGCTTCTAAATGTTGCGGGATTGTAATAACGGATCTTTTATACCGCAGCTAGATCTCAACAAATTTACGACCTCACCATCAATTTCCCACTCTCCCTCAAGCCCTCGGAGTTTCCAGGATATGAAGCCCCGAATCCCCCTTGGACGAAGTAAGCGGAACAAAACAGTCCGCGAATGAGACTTAGTATTACACAGCATTGAACTAATTGGAAATTGGCAGCCAATAAATCTCGAAGTTTGTTTTCGATGATACTAGACGATAATCACGGTTCGTGTTTACTTTACTTAGTCTTTGACAAGTTAATCAATGTGAGCAAAGGTAAAGTAATATCAATGAGACTGAAATATAGGTACTATTATCAGATGATATACTGACCTATGAATTTTGACGATACTAGTCGTGAGTAGTTGTACAGTCAGAGGATAATACGAGAACACCACAACTCAACTCGACATTTCGGCAGTTATGAACACCAATCATTAGTTACTACCTAGGCGTAATAGTCGGCTCTTTCAAGCGGCCTCCTAGTTTCTAGTCGAAGAAAGCGATTATCCCCGGAAAGCAGTTATCCTTAAAAAAAATTATTAGGGATTTTTTCAATTCTTAAAAAAAAAAATTGAATTCGATATTATTGAATTACTATTCCTATTAAATTTAATAATATAATCTACTACATTTAATTTTAATTTTATTTATTATAATAAATATAATAAATAAATTATAAAAATCAATATTTTATTAATAATCATATAAGTAATAAAGGTTATAATTAATATTATTCAATTATTATAATATTTTTGAAGTCTTTTTGAGAACAACCGCTTTCCGGGAACAATTGTTTTCCCCGACTAGAAATTAGGAGGCCACTTGGAAGAGCTGATTATTAGGTGCTACCGTATAGTCCTCTGTATTCCAAGGTTCTCATCACTATTGCGGTACAATCGATCAATCAACACCAATCAGAACGCCGTTGAGGTACTCGGTGTACCAGATTCTGCGTAGAGCAATGGATCTGGGTTCAGTAGTGATCCTATGGCAGTCGCTTGTTATGTGTCACGAAATAGTCACGCTTCATCTTCCCCTTCTTGCTTTCCCTTCATAATCTGTCCACCAGCTTCAAACATAAATCTGAAACCCGCGTTACGACGAATCTGAGCTGTCACGATGATAAAGTTACTTGATACCATCCATACGTTCGGCCGTGATTACCATCCACGCCTCACTCTTTTCCTCGCTACTACTATATACGTATGTTGTACCGTACTCCTTGTGTATTATATGGAGGAGGTTGACTAAGCTTCATAGCTCCTCGGTGAAGCCATCTACAATGCCTACTTTCATCCTTTGGCCGATGTACCCGGCCCATTCTGGTGCAAAGTATCAAGCTGGCCATCATACTTGCATGCAAGAACTGGCTCTCGTCACATTTGGATTTGGCAAAATCACCAGATTTATGGTAAGTCAACTTGAAAATACTGCTTTTCATGTATTGACATGTACTTATTCCTACATTAGGTGATAGGTTTCGCTACAAACCCAATGGCGTTTTAATAGCCTCACCTAAAGGCTATCGCGATATCTACAATGCCAAAGCAAACGTTAAAAAAGCTAAATGGTACGCGGTATGGCAGAGACGTCATGATGAGCTCAGCACCTTGAGTGCTATCGACCCTCACAAGCATATGTTACTGCGACGACCCTTGAATAACGCATTCTCCGAAAAGTCCTTGCGTTCATCAGAGCCCTACATCATAAAGCATATTGACAAATGGATTGAGCTTTTATTAGATGGCGAAAAGACTAAGGGCATGACTGAATGGGCAACACCGAAGAACTTGGGTGGAGAATGGGCTGACTACCTTATATTTGATATCTTATGTGACTTGTGTTTTGGAAAATCCTTCGAGACTATAGAGCCAGAAAGCCCGGTTCGTCAGATACCGCACATTATTGGTGAATACCTACATCTTATGAACACGGTATGTAGAAAACATGTCATCCGCAAACACTGCGTCGCTAATATTCACTATTTTAAGATTGCACATGCACCTTTCAGAGACTGTTGGGTTTGGCTGAAACCCCGTGGTCTTGATAAGGCACTCTCCTTACTTAGTCCCAAAAATGTTGTCAGTTTCTACCAATTCCTCGGGAAATGTGTCGCAGAGCGCGAGGAGCAAGAGAAAACTCTGGAAAAAGAGGATGTGCACGACGGGCGCAAAGACATCTTTCACTATCTCTATCAGGCCAAAAAGGCAGATAACGCACTCCCCTCCGACACCAAGGGACTCTTTGCATCAGCCAATCTTTTAGTCACAGCCGGGTCTGACACAACTGCCACCGCATTATGCAGTGCCCTTTTCTACCTCACAAGAAACGAGCATGCATATAACAAACTTGCAAAAGAGATACGCGATACGTTTCTTTCCGTCGAAGATATTCACGGTGGTCATACTCTATCCAATTGCCAGTATCTGCATGCTGTTTGCCTCGAAGCTATGCGAATGGCACCCAGTGCACCTTCAGAGCTTGCACGCCAAGTCCTTCCAGGCGGACACACAATCAACGAGCAATACTATACCGAAGGCACAGAAATCGGCGCGTCCAACTACTCCGCAAATTACCACGAAGACACTTACGGAGATCCATTTGTTTTTCGCCCAGAGCGTTGGATCTCAAATAAAGATGCAGGAATCACAGTCGAACAAGTAGCTGTGCTCAAAGAAGCTTTCAGCCCCTTCTCTATTGGACCAAGCCAGTGCCCTGGGAAGAATTTAGCGTTGCTGGAGATGTATATAGTGCTAGGGAGAATGATCCATGCTTGTGATATTCGGAGATCGGTGGATGATGTAGGTGATCGGGGAGCAGGCAGTCCGGAATTGATTTGGGGTAGGAGGAATACACATCAGTATCAGGTTCGTGATGCGTTCTTGGGGTTGAGGAATGGGCCGGTGGTGCAACTTTGTCGGAGAGTGAAGGTGTGAGGAAGGCTGAAAAGTTTGCCAAATTGGGATGGATCTGATTAACCGAGAATTGTGTATTTAGGTTATCAATTGTATGATTTTCAGTCTTGATTATTTAAATAATTGATTATTTACATGGCAGTTTTGCTCTTTCTGATTAAACCGATGAGGTCTTGAAATCTCTTTTGAGTAGTATTAGCAGTAGATTTCGCATTTAATATCACCGAATTCGAGTCGATTCATTTTCGGCCGTAAGCGCCTCTGACCATGCAAACCCATTATTTAAGAATCTGATTCGTCAGAAAAAAATGCACAATGCACAGAAAATTTCATTCTGGACATCATGAAAAAATATACATTTCAAGAAATCTTGGTAGCACTATACAAACCCACAGAGCATCTCTAACTTTTAGATATAATATCCATACAGTAGCCTATCCAGCCACGACACATCTTTAGTTAGCATCCATAACCTGTAAGTCCAAATCATCAACTATACTCCTCCATGCCCAACTGAATGCTGAACCTCCCACTCCCTCGCAACCTCCACATGCTCCCCCCTTTCCTCATCCATATCTGACCTACTCCCAACTGGATTCTCCGGTATATCACCAGAATTTCAACCCATAAAATCTCAGTAAAGCATCTTCATCACGAATAAACAATTCCATTCATTCATTTGACCAAAATAAAAATAAAAATAAAAATAAACATAAACATAAATACACAAAATCATTAATCATTTATTTCATCTCTCCATGGCCATTGCCACTCCCACTCACACTCACACTTTCATTCGCATCCGCAACCATGACCCCTCGTTCCCGATCCGCCACTCTTCCCGCCAAATCCGCAGGACGCGATGGTCTCCATCGCTTCCCCATCAATTGCACAATGAACGTGGGGATGATACTAACTCCGATAAGCAGACCCGCTGCCACAGCTGCGCTTTTCGAGAGACCAAGATTTGTGAACATAGATGGAAACCTATGATGCTATTAATTACGATATTCCCTCAAAGAATCTCAAGAGAAAAAGAGAAAACATACCAAAAAGGACCAATGAATCCCCAAATCTGTCTCACAAATGTGATAAACACTCCAATACTCGCCGATTCCTCGAGATGCGAATCCACCGCATAAGTAATCAAAACCGTCGTGACGATTTGATTTCCTACGCCCGCAATGGCGATGCCGATCACTGGTGTGATATTCCAATGCATTTCCTTTGCCTGTTCTGTGCGGACGAGGAAGACCACGGCTCCAACAATGGTGAGAACAAATCCGGCGTAACTTAACCATAAACGATGTTCGGGAGCGGGCTGGATACCTGTTTTGCGAGCCTTGCGATTCATCCAGAAATCTGAGAGATTGCCTCCTAGTTGTTCACCGATGACGGATCCGATGATGAGAGCGAGAAATTGGTAGCCGAGTTGTTGGGCGTTGAAACCGAATTTTTGGGCAAAAAGTTGGGGGAGTTCGACGGTGATAAGGACCGATCCGAAGAGGAAGGTCATGGCGTATGCAATTGCTGGGATGACAATGCATGGCTTTGTGAAGAGAGTTAGAGGGTGAACGAAATCGTAGACACGAAGTGGTGAAGGGTCGATTCGATGGAAAGTGAGATATTCTTCTCTGAAAGAAGATTTAGGATGTTGGACTCCATGACGAAGATATCTAGTTTCTGGACCCAAGAAAACATAGGCGATAAATTGGACTCCGTTCATGATTGCCAAGATCCAATAAATCCATCTCCATCCTACATTGTTGGCGACGAATCCCATGATGAAGGGAGAAAATGGAACTCCAATTGTAACCATAAGTGTCCAGATTCCCATATAACGAGCTCGATCTTTCTTGAAGAATGATTCTGTGACCACGGCACTACCAATTGCTCCAGCGGGACAGATGAAGAATGCAACAATGGCACGACAAAGTGCCATAGTGGCATAGGTGGGAGATTTAGCACATCCTATGTTTCCAACCAAACTAATAAGAAGTGATATAAGAAAAAGGGGTCTTCGTCCGAAAGTATTGGATAGAGGTTTCCATAGAAGCGGAGCTCCTCCCAAAATAGCAATTTGAAGTGAGGTAAGATATGAAGCTTGTTGAAGTGATACGCCTAGTTCTTCTGCGATACTTTCGTAGGCTGGAATAATGGCTGCTGCTGTAAATGTTGACATACATGCATGGAGTGCAACGAGTACAAGATTTGTAACTTTCTATACTTCTTGTTAGCTAAGTTGAGAGGAACTGATTAAATGATTTCGATATATACCTTTGAGTTGGTCCAGTTATAGGGATCAGCCTCACTAGGTCCGGGTAAAGGATCTAAATCAAGAGTTCCATGTCGTGCAAGAAGATATTGTCTGTGTTCTTCAGATAACTCATTTGCTTCAATATATGTTGCATGAGTTGTTGGATGGTCGATGGTTTCAGAAAATTCACCACTGGGGTTTGAATCTTTACGCTCAATAGCGCCTATTGTGACTGCCATTGTATTGCTTCGTTCAAGACAACTTGATATGGAAGTTTGATATCAAATGGTACACAAACCAAGGTTAAATCAACTTTAGTATTTTGAGAAATCAAAAAAAGTTTGACACTCCAAAACCACTCATCCAAGACTTCGAGCTACTTAAATAAAGGAACTCGTAACGGAAGAAAGAAAAGAAGAAGTTTATGAGCACAAATAGTTCAACTCGAATCGAGGGTACATGTTTAAAATATAGGAGAAAATCTTCTCCATATTCAGCTAATCCACCCCATTCTCCACACTTTCTCTATTGAAGGGCGTTAGGGACCTTGTTCTAAAATCCCATGCCGCTTCCAAGATACCATCCCCCTGTTACTCATCCCGATCATGGTGCCGAATATCCATTCCATTGCAAAAATCATCCAGCATTGTGGAACTTGCCACCAGAATCAAAAAGATAAGCCAAACCCCCGAGATTTGTCAAAGCAGCACCAAATGATACCTAGGTAATGAAATAATGTAACAAAGTTAATAGCCAATGTCCTGTGTATGCCTTGCATACTAAGATGAAATGAGATAGGCAACACGAGAGATTCGTGGTCTATTCACGGTCTTGACTTCGGATGTGAACATTGTGGGGACTTGGACTCTCCACACTTGACCAACACGTAGAAAGTAGTTGGCTACGAATAAGTGGAAGGCGTTGGAACGAGTGGACGGTTGCGCGGCCCCTTGTTCATTTGCAATCCGCGCGGGTCAGTTTGTCAATTTTCTCCAGGTGCTCCACGATATTTTAACTTTTTAGGTTATTGTTGTAGATATTCTGGCCGAAAGTTGGGGTTTGTGGAGATGAACAAATGTTGGGGTATGGGGGAATCGTTCTGGGTTTCTGTTTGCACTTGTATGACTACTTCATATATTCTCTTGAAAACATCGTGTTGCCGGTGATTTAATTGAGGATATAATATTGGTTGTGATCATGTCGTGGATATAGATGTTGGTATGGGTATCTGGAGGTGCATGGTGTGGTGTTGAGGTAGGTGCAAAATACTTTTTCCGAGGTATGTATTGAAGTGGATACAGTAGTGGACGGGAAACTACTATGACACCGCTGTTGATTGATAGACATAGATCTCCAATACGGTATTTACTAATCGCAAATGAAATCTAATCAATTAATTTTTTTCTTAGAAAAGTCCATTAGAGTAAGTTAAGAGTAGGCGGACTTCCAAAAACGGTATATCTTCTCCATTCTGTCGCTCTAGTTCGTTTCATTATTCCTAGTTCTTTGTAATTCTTATAAATCGCTCACAATTCTCTAATGTCCCACCGTTTATATGTAGGTATGTATGTGCATTAGTCATTTCTGTTCATCATGGTGTGCTATTCCAAGCAGTCTGCAGCATCTCCTATAAGCAGGTGAAGGAATCACAAACTTTCAAGAAGATAATGATGTTACATTCACAGAACTCATAATCTCATGGCCCAGTAAAGTAGTCGGACTGTCCCATCTGGGCATATTTCGCCTAAAACAGTGTGCATAAGCAGTGTGCATGAGCAATGCCACCCAGCCTATCCATCTTGGTATCTCAAACAAGACTTTGGGCGTTCCCACACGCTGTAGCCTTCCTATCTACCGACATATGTGCTAACCTTGGCGTTCAATACGACGTCAATCCACCATCCTATATGATTTCTGTGCAAATCAGGTAGGTCAATCAAGGTAGGGAAAAACGCCGTGGAGATCATTTGCGTTGTTGTATATCCTACAGCGAAGTGAAGGAGAACTTTGTATTTTTGATTGGCGATTGAATAAATGTATTGCGAGGATATCGCAAAGGTTTCACCTGCAATGCTACCTCGCCATGTACGAAATAAATTGTATACCCACACTCTTATCCATATTTCAACAAACTCGAGTATGAGAGGCCATCGGATCGCCATACTCGCATTGAAACATTGAAGAGCGTCGCAAGATAAACGTCATGAAGTCTTTTCGTGAATCTCGCAGGTGTCTAGAACGTCCTCGTCGGTACCGAAACTTCTAACACCCACCTACCTACGTGCAGCCCTTATACCATTTTCAATAGCCCCTTTTCACTTGTGTATACAGCCATTGTCATAATCATTAATAACCAATATGCCACTGTCTGTATTGCTCTTAAGTCCTTCAATGATTTTGATGTTGATTCCCTGATGTGAACAGAGAAAATTTAGTATGAGTCCCATCAACTATCATTCTCACTTCTTAAGAATTGATGTACCTACCTAGGCATACCGAAATGAAGCACAGAATGAAGAAGACAAGAAGAATCAAAGTGAAATGTACAAATAATAATAACATTAATCTAAATTAATACCTAAAACTACAATCCTACATATACATATACATATACGCTATACACAAACCCACACATACATACATATACATAACCCAACCCAAATAAATACATAACCATATATACATATGTATGAACATACACATACATACATATACCCATCACTCCAATTAAATATATATCAAAATTACAAATCGAAACCATTTC